TGGTTAAAGACACGTCATATACAGTCCTTCTCATGCGTCCGGGCTCCTCATGGAGAGAGGGATTCAGTGGTTACTCTGAACCAATTCCGTGGCAAGCCTCAAATCCACCTGCGAAGCGGCGCTGCTAGCAGAGCCGCACAGGTACCTGCAGCCTTTCAGGAAGCAGCAATTCCCTCTCAGGCTTCCTTCTCCGCACGAAGCGCCCCGCGAGCGGCAGCCCGTGACACAGCGACACGGCTGTGAGCAGCACGGACAGGGGTGACACGGCTATGCGCCGACACGGCGGCTCCTCCATCCTCCTCCTCGTCCTGCCTCTTGCCGCGGCTCCGCACCGGCTGCCGTGAGGATCTGCATCGCCAACGGATCCGACTCGCTCACCCTGAAGGAAGCTACCCTGACAAAAACGGAGAGGTTCTCCCTGCGCTAGCGACCTGAACTSACTCACTGACTTATGCACCAAAGTCTACAGGCAGCACGAGCRGTTGGCAACACCGCACAATGAGACGCAGGACAGAGGAAAGATCTCTCTTTCCAGAGGCACCATCAGCGGTTCAGCTCAGCTAGGAGCACAGCGACAGACCTCTGCTGCTGTTACTGTGGCAGGAGTACACGCCAGAACTGCCTTTCTCACTCTGCCCTCCCTTGGTGTCTCCCACAATCTTCCTAGCAGCACAAAAAAGTCCAATGATTTTCATGAAGATGGGCAGAAGTTCTACTTTTATAGTAATGCCCTAAGTGTTTTTCAAGAGGAAGTTCTGAACAGTGTATGAAGGTAGAGATTCACACGGAGGGGAGGACATCACACGGAGGGGAGGACGTGCCCCAGGAGAGCTGGGGGCAATGCCACCAAACAGAGCAGAAAAAGGCAAGGAAACGTTCCCCTCTTCCACGGGGTTAATAAGATAAACCAGATGGGAAAAGATGCTACATTTGGTGCTAGAGGAGATTCAAGGGACAGTGTGCCAGCAGATCGGGGTGGTGTCTCAATAGCAGCAGAGAATGTGAGAAGATTTAGGGTCAAGGCGCAGGGACCCGTGCGCGCCACGGCACTGTCACCTGCGAGCAGCTGCTGCTGTGGCCATTTACTCACACTAGCCCCAAGTCACACTCAGTGGAGCGATCCAGCACCCCAAGAGAGGGAGCCAGGACGGGGCTCGTGCTCCAGCCCTTGTGTAACGCCAGCTGCACGTGCGGGACGGGGGCAAGAGCCGCCTGGGGTTGTTGCTCAAGCAGCAACAGTGTCCGAAATGCGTGTGGAAGCGGTTTCCATCCGTGAGGGAGCACACGGGCCTCGGGACGCCCTGGTTTCCGCCGYGTCTGCTCCTCATGTCAGCCTCCTTGCAGGGAGAACCTGCTCTTGCCTACATTGAGAGAGTCACCTGAACTTTGCTTCAGGAGGGAGAACAGGGCCCAGCCTTACAGGTGATCTCAGCAAGGAGAAGTAATTAAAAAAAATAAACAAACAAACAAAACAAAACAAAAAAAAAAAACGCTGGTAACCTCATCAACTAACCAAACCACCATTGGAACAGCACAGACTTCCACAAAGCACTCATTGGAGCGGAGGGAAGGACGAGTGTGCAAACGCCAGGGACAGGAACTTATGTTTCGATTTCCCGCATGGAGACAGCTTTAAAATAGTCCATTACAGGCCTTCCCACACCTTTCTCCTAAGCAGCTCGTGCCGGGCAGCCCGAGACCGAAGTGACCGGCAAGGATGGCCCGAAGAGTCCGTGGCGGGACCCCGATCCCGGCAACTGTTCCTACAGGACGTTGATGTCCGTCGCAGAGCTGAGACCAGTGGGCACACGTCCTGTGGACGCCAGGACGTGCCCATGGTCTCAGCTCTGCGACGGACATCAACCCCCCCCGACCCCCTGCGAGAGCAGCCGACCCGCTTGTGGGCTCCAGCGCGGGAGAAACGCTCTGCTCAAACCACAGAGTGCCCAACTGGCCCCCAACGCTCTGCTAAACACGTGCCATTAAACACGAGTCCGTGCGTRTCCATGTAWGTGTGTGTATATACATATTCATGCAGACACACACACAAATTTCCTCCAAGTTCTTCACCCTCTCCCCTTAAGAAGCTCTTCCACCATCTGCCGTTTGCTTTTCCCTCTGCTCCTCACAGGATGCTCCAAATCCAGCACTGCCAGGAGAAAAAAAACAGCGGCAGCAGCAGCACGAATGTGAAAATCCCGCCTGCTTCCAACTGCTGCTTTGCCTGGTGCTCCCAAAAGAGCGACCAACCCAAGCACATCCTCACCCTCTCCCCAGCCCACAAGGCTGCTCAGAAATCTGCAACCACGGCGCCGTGCTCCTCTCATCCACTTTTTTTTAATATTGGTATAATCAAGCTGGCTAAAAGCTTGGGGATAAAGTAGGCACGAAGAGCTCAAGAGCTGGGAGGAGTAAAAGGAAGACTGTTACCCACTGAGAGTGCTCAGACTTTCATAACCATCATGAAACGTGACCGCAGGGACTGCAGAGGAGGCAGCATCATTTTGGATTTAGAGAAATGCAATCCCTGAACTGCTGCGGAGCTCCAGCTGGGCACCAGGGTGCCCCGACCAAACCCAGAGAGGTTGCTTTGGGTGAGGAGCATTACTGACATTTTCCACGAACATAAAGTTTAAGTTACAGGCAGAAGGCTGGGCCTTCTCACTGCAAAAAAATAAAAAGCCTCGAGGAGTGTGGCCTGAGCAACTGATCTCCACTTGCTCATGGAGATCCCAAAATAGAGGTGAAGTGTGAATATCCCATYTGTTCCCCACGGATGTCAACAGAAATTCTTGGTCAGGGCCTCACCTAGGACCAAAATGTGCACCCAGAGAGCTGCAGCTGGGCGAGAAGAGCCTGTTTATTTCTTACTGCGGCAGAACTAAGACTTTCCAGATTAGGACGAGCTACTGCAGGGTATTTTATATTTGACACCAGGACCAGCAATAGCTGCTGCAAGCTCCCAGGAAGCAGAGAGTGGTGCCTTGACAGTCTCCATTATCTGTTCCTCAGTTTTTGGACCTAACAGACTCTTTCCGACCTTTCCTCCTCCCGTAACAGCAGGCACCTTTGTATTCCCCCTTCCCAAAAGCATGGGGAAACAGCAGGCATTTAGTCCAGAGGCAGACCATTTATTGCAGACTCGGATACAAAGCTRACATTACTAATCTAAACAGCAAATATGACTGGATGTCCCACCAGGGAGATTTTGAGAATATGAATAATTATTATACTCCTCTTTCCTAGACCCAAATAATATTACATTTTAAGTTACCCGTAAGCGATGCTTGACCAACACATTATTACCTTCCTGCCCCCTTTTCTCTCTGATCAGTGAGGGTAAAAAGGTTTTAAGGAAATGCAGGAAATAAGGCCAGACAATGTTGATGTGAGAATCCTCTACTGTATCACAAAACAGAGCAGTTTGGGAATAAACAAAAAGTCACATAATAATAATAATAATAATAATAATAATAATAATAATAATAATAATGACATGCAAACGTTTACTGTCACATTTTTGTATTTGCAACGAATCGAGCCAGAAATGGACGAGTTACCCCAAGCACCACGCTCTGTTTGATCGCTATGGGGCTGCACTGCTCACCGGGGTTCACAGGGCTCCGCTACGGGCCTGCCGCTGCAGCGACCCTCTCTCTTCCCACCGGGGTGTTTTTCAGTGACGCCCAACACCTCGGCTTTCATTTCCAGGGAATTGGTGGCAGCGACAGAGAACAAACCCAGGGRCAGGATAGGACAGGCCTAGGCAGACGCTCACCCCAGCCATGCGCATCTTCAGTGAACGTACGTGTGTCCGGGGCTTTACATTAAAAGCCTGGGCTATCTTATAGCACAGCCAAGGGGAGCAGAACCTCAGAGCTCCCGTCATTTAAAGCACGACACTCGGTGGTGATAACGGAATTGAGAGAGAGATAGCCGTTATTTTTGAGTAAGTTTCTATCCTTTTATTTAAGAACTAGGAAAAACTTGTTTTCAACCCCCAGAAAGAATGAWTTTTCATGGCTGGTATTATGAAATCTCCTGCTTCTGGAATAGGTGCATTTCAATGTACAATGGGGAGGATGTTAAAAAGAAGATGGAAAAAAAAAGTGTTCTTGGAGGAGTCACATGATGTATCTATTCATCTATATCTATATATGTGTGTGTGTTTATACAAGGATAAACTTTTGAAAGGAATAAAAATCCCTGTTAAAAAAAAAAAAAGTTAAAAACGGGGGTAAAAAATAAAAAGGGGTTGTCAGGCCAGAGCGCATCGTTGCAGAGCTGCGGACACCCGGGCTTGGCATGGGCAAATAAAGCGAAAAAACAGCATCCTCCCTGCCGGAGCGGGGAGCGCAGCGCGGGAAAACAGCGCGAATAAATAAAATATATATATGGAAATAAAAGTGGATGCGCGGGCCCCGCCGGGCTCCCCGGGGCCCTGCCGGGCGGGCGGGCGGCGGGGCCGGTACCGGTGCCGGGCGGGCCGCGGCGGGGCCGCTAACGGTCGGTAACGGTCGGTAACGGTCGGTCGTTCGGCCGGCCGCCCCGCGCGCCGCGCGCGGCCGCCGCTTTGTGTCTCCTCATGGCGGGAGGCCGCGGGGCCGCGCTCGCCCTGCCCGGGGCGGCGGCGAAAAAAAAAAAACCCACAACAACGGGGATTTCTGTATATTTAAAAATAAATAAATAAATGAGAATCCCGGTAGCGGGGCTGGCGGGGGGCGCAGCGGGAGGTGGGCGCGCGGCCGCCTCGCCCCCTCGTCGTCTTCCTGCTGCCGCTGCCGCTGCTGCCGGGGCGGCGGCGCCGCTGCTGCCGCCGCGCGGGGCCGGGGGCCGCCGCCGGGGCCGGCTCCCATCCGCCATGATCCTTTGTTCGCGGCGGCGGCGGGCGCGGAGCGGGCTCGGCTCCATGTTGCGCCGGGCCCCGGGCCCCGCCGGCCGCCTCGCCTCCCCGCCCTCCCCCCCCGCCCCTCGCAGCCTGGGCGCCGTCCTCCTCTTACCGGTTACCAGGCTGCTCCGTCACTGCTTTCGTTCGCGCCTGGGATCCCGCCGCCGTTTTATTCTCTCCCCCACGTAACACACCGCGTCAAACTACACCTCCGCCGCGTCACTCGCGCACACGGGCGCTCCCAGCCCGGCGACACGCAGGCGGCGGCCGACTGCGGAGCGCCAGCCAGGGAGCGAGCGCCGAGCGCGCCGCGGGCCCGCGCGGAAAGCGCCGAGCGCTCACGGAAACCGCCGAGCGGCGGGAACGGCCGAGCGCGCCCGCCCGCCGCCGCGGAAACAGCCGAGCGGCCGCGGAAACGAACGAAGCGCCGCGGGGCGAGGGGGCGCCCGCCGCCCCCGGCCCCACTGCGGCCCCACGGCGGGGCACGGCCCTTGCCGCCCCGGCCACGGCGCTCCTGCCCCAGCCCCCCCCCCCCTCAGCACCCACGGTTGCCCCCAGTGCTCCCCCAAAGTGTTCAGCTGCCCCTCCACGAGCGCAACATGGCGGGCGGTGTGGCCGCGGGCACCTCGCCATGGGCGCTGTGCCCACACAACATGGCGAACACGGTGGCCACAAGCAGAACATGGCGGGCGCTGGGTCAGTGCAGCATGGTGGATCTGGTTTCCACAAGCGCAGGATGCTGGAGGTCACGTTTCCTTGAACACGGCATTGGTGTTGTCCACGGGCACAACGTGGTGGACGTGGTTTCCACAAACACAGCATGTCAGATGGGATAATCACAAACCCAACATGTGGGACATGGTGTCCCCTCAATGTGGTGGGCATTGTCTCCTCAAGCACCATATGGACAAGGTTTAAGGGGCATCATGTTGAAGGGCTTACACTTAGATTCAATGATCTTGAAGGTCTTTTCCAACCATTATGATTCTATGATTCTGTGGTGTAGTGTTCCCCTCACTGTGGCGGGAGCAGTGTCCACAAGCACAACGTGGCAGATGGGGTGTCCAGAGGCACAACATGGCGGACATGGTGTTCACCTCAGTGTGGTGGACGTGGTGTCCACAAACGCAACAGGGCAGATGGGGTGACCACAGGTACGACATGGCAGACGTGTTCTCAACAACGTGTTGCCACGGTGTGGGCGGACATGGTCTCCACAAGCACATGGTGGACATGGTCTAAAAGGCATGGTGTTGAAGGGATTACGGTTGGACTCAACGATCTTGAAGATCTTTTCCAACCATTATGATTCTATGATTCTATGGCATAGTGTTCCTCTCAGTGTGGCAGACATGGTGACCACAGGAACAACATGGCAGATGGAGTGGCCGCAAGTACGACATGGCAGATGTGTTGTGAACAGGCATGATGTGGGTGGACATGGTGTCCCCCCAACATGACATACATGGTGTCTACAACACAACACAGGGGACAGGGTGTCCACAGGCACAACATGGCAGACATGATGTCACCTCAGTGTGGTGGATGTGGTCTCCACAAGCACAACRTGATGGACACAGGCGTTCCTCTTAGTGTGGTGGGAGTGGTATCCACAAGCACAACATGGAGGATGGGATGTCCACAGGCAAAAAAAAATAGTGGACAGGGTTGCCACAAGACAAGATGGTGGACGTGGTATTCCCCACAACATGGCGGACGTGGTCTCCACACAAGCATGATATGGCGGATCTGGTGTCCCCTCAATATGGTGGATGTGGTGTCCACAAGCACAACATGGAGGAGAGGGTGACCACACGCATGCCATGGCAGACACGGTGTCCCCACGGCAYGGCCGACACGGTCCCCACGGGTACCACGTGGAGGATGCAGTGTTGTCCAGAGCCGCCAGGCCTCGCGGCTGCCGTGGTGGCTCCTCTCCCCGCTCCTCAGCCCTTCTTGGCCGCCTGGCCTCTGCCGCCGTTTCCATCTGCCCTCCGTGCGCCCCTCGCGCGCTGCCTGCCGGGCCGCTCCTCTGCTCGCTGGGCACCAGGGCCAGGCAAGGCTGGTCCCGCAGCCCCATCCCCGCCTGCCAGGGCTCCCCACTTGCCCTCATGTCATCTCCTGCACCTGACGTCTCTCTGACGACGATGGGGACGCGATGGGGACGTCCCACACGATGGAGACGTCCCACACGATGGAGATGTCCCACACGATGGGGACGTCCCACACGATGGAGACGTCCCACACGATGGAGATGTCCCACACGATGGGGATGTCCCACACGATGGAGACGTCCCACACGATGGGGACGTCCCACACGATGGAGATGTCCCACACGATGGGGATGTCCCACACGATGGAGACGTCCCACACGATGGAGACGTCCCACACGATGGAGACGTCCCACATGATGGAGACGTCCCACACGATGGGGATGACCCACACGATGGAGACGTCCCACACGATGGAGACGTCCCAAACGATGTCCCACACGATGGGGACGTGGAGGGGCAGGTGGGGAGCTGGCGCCATCCAAAGCCATGGTAGCTCTGAGGAAGGCAGGTTGTGTTGCTGGAGTCCTCAAGATGGCACTGCACCACCGGCATGGAGGACTGGGTCTCCTGCACCACAACCAGCTCCCCAGCYTTGCCGTGTCCGCTCATGTCCTTCCCAGGTCCGGTTTTCCTCGAGAAGGYTGAACGGGATTTACCTCGGGTGAGTTTCATCCAGCTCCAACCCACATGGCCAGAGATGGTGCAGGCACCGATCGCAGCCTTGCTCTGGTTTTGGCTTTGTTGGTTTGCTCTTTGTTTAGAAATGAACCCCAAATAAACCCACATTTAGCATTTTCAAGGCGAGCAGCTCGAGTTAAACTSATAAACATTGTTTCATGGAGAGCACATTAACGTGGCCGGGCCACATGCCATTTTGCACTAGTATTGCGCTTATTCTGTCCACTCCATCTGCAAATACGAGCTCCAAGTTCGCAGCCTGGTGTGTCTGAGGCTACTGCCCCCATCGTGGCCCTGTCTCCCTCGTTAGTTTGGATTTGTGTTGTTCCTTTGATTCCTTGCTGGCCCTGTCAGCAGCGTTCAGCCAAAATCACTCCCAAAACCACTGTGCCGCAAGGAGCCCTTCTGAGATCAGAGCACCCAGCATCAGCCTCTGTGCGCCGCTTATCGGGAGCAAAGCTCTTACGTAAGGAAATATTTACAACCAATAGGACAAAATAAGCCACCTGAGCGTCTCTTGTTTCATTCACATTTGTCCTTTTTTATTTTTTTTCCCAYTCCCCCTCATTCTTTCCAGTCCAGCAGCGCGAGCCATGAGTGGAGCCGGTGGGGCTGCCCTTAGCACCGTTCTCTGCACACTCTTGATCCCGCTCTCCTTTTGAGGCACWGCTAATATCCTGGCGTCCCCCTGGTCCTTCCAGCCCTGGAATCACTTGCTCCTCACTCCCAGGCTGGCTCTTTTCCAGTCATCCCCCTAAAGCCTTTCAGTTTGCAAAGGGCACCKTGCCGCGGTGTCTGCTTCCCCACCACCAGCCTCAGCCGCCCTTACGGCAGACAGCTCCAGTGCCGTTCATCTCAAGCTGAAACGGATGTTAGGGAGATGCCCAAGGTGATCCGAAGTCTTTCCCTTGTGCCCCATGGTGATGCATGGGGGGCAGCTGGATTCAGCCTGGGCTCATAGGGGTTTGGCGGCACAGCTGGACCAACGTCTCATACACACCAGCTGAGAAATCGTCGTTTTGCACATTCCCCTTCCCCGGCAGGTTTTCTGATTTGTTTTGTTCCTTGTTTCCTTTTGCTCTCGTCAGATCTGCGCAGAAGTGAGAGGCCAAGCAAAACTGGAACTTCATTGGTGCTGGGAGTGAACGGTTGAGTTGCAAAAAAACCTTTCCTCACCATCATCTGCCTCCCCCTTTCGTGTTTTCCCTTGGGGGTTTGTATAAAACGGGGCGGTAGCGATGTGTGCCAATTACCAGTCATGTTCTATAGGGAGAGCCTGACTGGAGAAGCAAGAGGGTGCTCAGCAGTTCTACTGTCCATCAGCACAAGTTTGCTTGATGATGAGTAAAACACAGCAAGATTAACGTCTCTCCTTGCAATTAAACCATAGGGGCAAGTTCATGAGCTTTGCAGTTACCGCCCCGGCACCCAAGCTAATATTTAACGTGGAAATGCAGAGATAGGTGCAAGTTAGATGGTTAGCGGAGTGCGCATTTGGACACGGTGAGTGTTGCCTTGCACTTCCCACCCCACATAAATACATCACCTGGATTTAAAGCGGACACAGGGGAAAGCGGTTTCTGAGCAGAAAACGAAGGTGATGAAGAGATGCTGCTCTCAAACCCAGACGTGGAGACCTCARTCCTCCAGTTTGGTCTCTGCTTTGGAGACAAACGGAGGCTTTGCCTCAGACCCCCATCCCAAATAGTCCCCTGTCATTTCACATCCTCTCAGAAGCAGGTAAAACTGCTTACATACCAGAATAAGGACAGAACCCTACAGGTTTAGTACGGACAGAACCCTACAGGTTTAGTACCTGCCGTGGAGAAGAGGCTTCATGGCCCCTCTGAGCACTTTGTTCCAGACAGAGACCTCAATTCAAGTGGCCAAAACAGAACCGGTTCTTGAGCACCTCCCCGCTGAAAGCTAACGAAGTGCAGCCCCGAACCGCCCCTGCTGCTCGCGGACATTCCTCGCTGCTAAATGCAATGAATCTCCCTGGCCAGAGGCAGACTTCCCAGGCCAGCCGAGGGCCGGCTCCGTGAGGCCAAGGAAGTCGGTCGCTTTGTTTAACCCTGGAAGGGGGAAACGGGCCGCGCGGCCAGGCCCTCGGAGCGGGAGCAGTTACGTGTCCAGGTATCACACAGCATGCTGTGATTGCTCTGTGCAGCGATGCCTTCCACAAAGAAAATGAGGGAAAAATCCATTCTATTTCATCCTTGTGTTCTCCAGAAACACCTCTTAAAAGACTGTTTTCTTGCCACGATACTTTCTCCCTCTTCACTTATCTTTTTCTTCCTCATTAAGCTGAATTTCTCTTCACTTTTAAAGCCCTGAATAACCGTCCCTGCCTTTTTTTCTCCTCCTGTCTTTCCATTCCTGCGACAACGTACGCACCAATACTCTCCCCCATTAAGATTTAGCACAAAACTGTGCAAGAAKGGGCAATCTCCTCCAAGAAGTGTTCAGGCTTCCTGCAGCCGCCGGTTTTTGTGGTGGGAATTGCTAAGCAGCCCTCGTGCAAAGGCGGGTATTAACCTCCCTTTCTGCCAGCTGCACCTTTTCCCCCAGGAAAAGACCCGCAGTGATCTCACC